ATACGGAGGACTTCGTAATTGAGACTCCGACCAACAATAATTATATTTTTATATGTATGTATGTATTTATATTTTATATGTATTATTTAATGCATGCAATTAATTGTAATTACATTACTCACTCTCAGCGTTATCCAAGATCAACCAACATGAGTGTATGATCTCTTTTTTATTTTTTTTACTATTTTTATATTTTTTTGTTTTTTATGTTTATAAGTATAAAAAACAATATATATATGTAGTAAAAAAAGTAAAAAAGAGATCATACACTCACTACCTCCACGTTGGTTGATCTTGGATAGCGCTGAAAGTGAGTAATGTAATTACAATTAATTGGGAAAAAAACGATTATATAAAAACATTATAATTTGATAGTTTATATATTAATTTTATTATAAGTAATTTTTGCCACTCAAAAAAACTTGAATTTATTGTTAATTAAAACGTTAAAGAAAGTCAATATTTAAAATATCCGATGACGTTCCGGAAACGCCCGAAGTTAATCGACGGTATCGTGACGTCACGACGCAAAGCTGGACTCGATTGCATGTGGCAAAATATACAGGTTATACATTTAATCCAGTATTGTGAATCTGTATATATATAATATGGACGAAAAAGAAAATGAAATTGTTGGTTTGAAACAACTGAAAGGCTATCGTGCTTGTTTTGTTCCGTTGTGTGCAAATAATTCAAAAAATGCACCCGATAAAATTTACGTGCATGTCCCTCAAGATGAAAAAAGACGGAAACAATGGTGTCAACTTGCACGACGTGTATATCAGCCAACAAAATCAAACTTATATTGCTGTCAGGATCATTTAAATGTAAGTAAACGGAATAAGATTTTATTTTATTAAATATTTGTATGTATAGTACTTAACCTCAAAATTAATATACATTTGAAATATTTTTTTACGTATATTTTATAGATAGAAGAAGATTTGGAAAACTACATTAGATTCAAATTGTATGGAGCACCTCTGAAATTAAAGGAAAATGTAGTACCACGGTTTTTTGACTGCCAAATAGACCGTAAAAGAGCTGCAAGTAGCCCAGTTCCTAGAAGAGCATACAAAAAATTGAAAACAAGGAGAATTTTAAATGAAATGTTAGCTGATAAGCAAGATATTGACAGTTGCCTTCAAAAAGAAAAAGAAATAATATCACCAACAGAAGAACTTGCAGTAGCAACAATAAGTTCAGCAAGCGAATATCTACCGGAGCAAAGAAGCAACATTGTTATGCATGGAGAAAATGCATTGGAATCTGTACCAAGCACAAGCAAAGCAAATCCGTTAAAAGAAATGAACGAATCCTCTAAGTTCATGAATAAAAGTACTCAAGTGTCAAATCTTCGAGCACACTTTAGGAGTAAAGGAGTTTCATGTCAGCTTTTAAATGATTGTACTGCATGTACTTCGATTGCTGCAAATGTTAAACGTGTAGTAGATTCCGCGAATTCACCTATAAAATGGGAAAATAAGAATATATGCCATTCGAGCACTACGGTGACGACAACAGCAACGAGTTCAGCGACAAATCCCACCGTAAGCGAGTATCATCCTTCATCGGGCGAAATTAAAGAGGAAATGGAAGAATGCGATGCTCATTTAAAACGAGAAGCTTTAAATATGACTAATTATTTTATTAGTTGTGATTCTAAACGATATATCGGAATCCCTGTAAACTGGTTATGGATATTAGATCATCTACATAATGAAATTAATATGAGTATTGATAATATCAAGCTTACTCTTACAAAAATAAGATTAAATGACACTTTTGTGCGATTAGGAGATCAGTTTGGTATTAGTAGTACGCAAGCCAGCAAAATATTTAATAAATGTATAATTAAATTAGCTAATGTATTAAAAACACTTATTTACTTTTCTGACAAAGAAAGTGTGAAACGAGCTTTACCGATACCATTCAGAGCCAATTACAGTAATGTGGTGGCAATTATCGATGCGTTTGAAATACAAATAGAGAAACCATCAAATCCCGTACATCAAGCGCTTACATGGTCGGAATATAAAAAATGTAACACCATTAAATATTTAATTTCGTCTTCACCTGATGGTAAAATTAATTTTATTTCCAAAGGTTACGGAGGTAGAATATCAGACTGTGTTTTATTTGAAGTATGTGGTATATTGGACAAGCTACCGGAAAATAGTGCTGTAATGGCTGATCGTGGATTTAAACAGATTGAAACTATATTATTAAAAAAAAACTGTAAGCTTATTCGACCACCGAGTGTTTCATCAAATATAAAACCCTCTAAATCACAAGTATTAGAAACAAAACGAATTGCTAGCCTACGAATACACATTGAACGTGTTATACGAAGAATACGTGAATTTAAAATGTTAGTACCTCATGCCTGTTCGAACCATTGTGTTATACCAATTATAGATCATGTAGTGACAGTATGTGCAGGATTAGTCAATATTCAAACACCTATTATACTAACCTAATAATATATGTATATTTTTAATTTTGTTCACATTATTTACTTTTATTTTATAACAAAATATTTGACAATAAAATATTATTTTATAATAAAATGTAAGAGTTTAGGAAAAATGTGATTTTTCCAAAATAATATGACTTCCTCAATAATCGACGCAGTATATTTTTCATCAAAATCCATCCATAAACAAGTAATATTTTTACTACTTTCAAAGTCTGGATGTGCGACACAAAATAAACCCTTTTTTCTTTTTGCCATAAACATTTGTAATTGCATTTGGGCTTTACATTTTTGGCTGATGGTATCTTCACTTGGTAAGAATTTTTTAAAAGTTTTATCCGAGCTTGGACATTTGATTTCTACAATGAAATTATCTCCAATTGCATCAGGAGAGGCTCCAAGAACCGGAAACATTGGTGATAATAAAAGGCCACATTTGTAACATTCCAGTCCTGTTTTGTTTTGTAATACATGTAAAACTTCATTTTCTAAGCGTTTTCCTCTTTCCATCTGTGCCGAATAAAATAGCTTAGATGCTCCGATAATTCCATTGACAAGTGTACCATCTGGTGTCTGGCAATGAGCACATTCATATAACTTTGAAGCTGTTATACGTCCATATCGTAATTCGTACCACAATGAATTGTCACTTTGGTCTATGGTACGTCTGTTCACTTCCTCACAAATAGCTTCTGACATTCGTGATTGAGCAAATAACATAAATTCATCTGCTAAAGATTTTCGTTCTTTTACAAAATCAATCATTAGGAAATGTAATGATATTAAAGTTATATGTCTTTCGGATGTAACATAGTGGTGCCTTGACAGCTGGCTATCTAAGTTTTTCGTTTTAGCGATGTGGAGGATAGTTTGCAGAAAAGAAGGATGCTCATCAGATGATATATTTCCTGGCTCTACAGAAGTAGATGTCTTTAACAAATCTTTTGCTTCAATAAATTGTTTCGCTGTTCCAACTTTTGCTAATACAGGTTTTTTCCAATAACATTGTACATCTGTAGGAGATGGCTCTTCAGAACGTCTATGAGTCCACATCAAAAAAGCTATTGCATGCTTGCAACCACCTATAGCGAATTAAAATATTTATGTTAATCAATATGTGTATAATAATACTGCACATTAAAGTAAATTTATGTACAAAGTTATAGAATTAAAAATCAAACTTAATTACCACTTGAAGCAGCACAGTCATGACATTCTACATTAATTATCGATTCAGTTTCTTCATTTACTGTTAAAGTTACAGAATACGCTTTATTTCGAACTCTGTGTTCAGGGCAAACTTTGGCTTTAACAGTGCAAATAGTATTTTCTCTTTTTAGACAAACATAACCTATTGCGGAATCTCCATAGTTTTGCCGAGAAGAACTAAAATAACAATAAATAAAGGTTATGTATAAATATATAATATATAAATAAATGTTATCTAATTTTAATTTTTGCATATTGTAATATAACTTACATGTTAACTTTTGCATTGCGGAACTCAGCAGCGTTAAAGTCATCACTGTTTTTCACATATTCGCAAACCATAAACATATCCACTTTTGGCAAATTATTCGAATTACCTTTCACAAAATCCGAATCAACCATTTTTTTAACCTTAATATCTTATTTATTAATTAAAACAATATTATTTAATGCCAGACTGTTTCTCTTACTGCTAGCTGTCGACTAGGAGCAACTCGGAGCTATTGTCGCGGTGACGTCATAGATCTCGCGGCCAATGAAAAGGCGTTTCGTTTATCCGTTTAAGTGTTCAAATATGACGCTTTTTAAAACGTTGTTTATAAAAATTTGGACAAACATAAAGATATATTTATAACAGTTTTATGTTATTTACGTTATGTATAATATTATATATATTTTTTAAAGCATTTTATTTATTTATTTTGTACCCAATTGCATGCATTAAATAATACATATAAAATATAAATACACACATGCATATAAAAATATAATTATTGTTGGCCGAAGTCTCAATTACGAAGTCTTCCGTATTTAACAAAAAGTAAAAGTACAAAAAAAACAAAAAAATATAAAAATAGTAAAAAAAAGTAAAAAAGAAATCATACACTCACCACCTCCACGTTGGTTAATTTTGGATAGCGCTGAGAGTGAATGTAATTACAATTAATTGCATGCATTAAATAATACATATAAAATATAAATACATACATACATATACAAATATAATTATTGTTGGCCGGAGTCTCAATTACGAAGTCCTCCGTATTTTTTTATTTTACATGTAATATAGAGGACTTTTACTTATTGGGATATGTACTAAATATAGGCACTTTCAATATGACAGAGAGAGAGAGAGAGAGAGAGAGCAAGGAAGCGTAATTTTATGATTTTCTAAAATAAAGTGGTTTTAAGCAATTTTTATGAGCTGACAGTGTGAAAACTAGCGGTGGTTGAAGGTTGACGCCATTGAGACTTTTGATAAGTACCTCATAAAGAATATTTTCGCATAGGTTATTTCTATTTTGACCGGGGCCACTTTTCCATATGATTAGTGCGTGGTTCTTTCGTATATTTTATTTCATTATTTACTTCAGTGTTTACAATTCAAGCATATTAACCTCTATCTTTAATCATCATCATTGAAATATTCTTCAACTCGTTCAACTTGTGAATGTTCTTCAGCTCTTTGCCTCTGCCGAATTAAATTTAATAACTCAAATTTAACACTTCCACGAGCAGGTGGTGGAGCAACAACAGCTACTGGAATTTCTTTTTTACATGCGTCATATTTTAGTGTAGGAGAAAACTGTATATCGCACAAATTTTAATTTATCAATAAATATTGCACAACATGTATTCTTAATTATATTTATATTATATTATACTACAAGAAAAATAGGAATAATTTACGGATTATGTGATCCACGTATGGATTTTTCACTATTTTAGTCTTGAAATTAATTCATATTCAAATGCTTACTCAAATGCTTCGCAAGTATTCTTCGCAGATATTAATATAATATCTGCGCGATAAGAAACTTCGTGATTATATATATGTACAGGCTGTTCCCAGATTGTGACAAGTTGTTTACATCGATTTGACTTTACCTTACGACATTAAAATTTTGCTTCGTAACCATTGTCTAGCCGTACGCGATAAAAACGATTCATAGTTATATATTCGCAGCATATTGCGGAAATAAATTTCCTTTCATTTTTATCCCTTGTTAAATGCAAAAAATGCGAGCGGAATGTGCTACGTGAAGAATTGCTGGGTGCGCGCAGCGTAAGCGAGTACGGATATGGTGTGCGCATAGAGGCGTTTGTAATTATTTCTCGAAAATGATACTTTGGAAAATAACTTTATCACACATGGTTGAATTCGTATTAAAATAACCATTAATTTGGTCACACAAAAAATTTAAAAATAAAAAAAAAATGTTTTTTTACTACTATTATAAAGTTCACTTTATGCCATTTAACTTTGATCTAAAACATTTTTTTCTATCTCTCATAGTTTCGACGATATTTACATCGGAAGA